GAGAGAGAGAGAGAGAGAGAGAGAACACTACCGGCAGCACTGTATGTATGGAGAGAGAGAGAGAGAACACTACCAGCAGCACTGCATGTATGGAGAGAGAGAGAAAGAGAACACTACCGGCAGCACTGTATGTATGGAGAGAGAGAGAGAACACTACCGGCAGCACTGTATGTATGGAGAGAGAGAACACTACCGGCAGCACTGTATGTATGGAGAGAGAGAGAACACTACCGGCAGCACTGTATGTATGGAGAGAGAGAGAACACTACCGGCAGCACTGTATGCAAGGGGAGAGAGAGAACACTACCGGCAGCACTGTATGCATGGGGGGAGAGAGAACACTACCGGCAGCACTGTATGCAAGGGGAGAGAGAACACTACCGGCAGCATTGTATGCATGGAGAGAGAGAACACTACCGGCAGCACTGTATGCATGGAGAGAGAGAACACTACCGGCAGCACTGTATGCATGGAGAGAGAGAACACTACCGGCAGCACTGTATTCATGGAGAGAGAGAGAGAGAGAGAACACTACCGGCAGCACTGTATGTATGGAGAGAGAGAACACTACCGGCAGCACTGTATGCATGGAGAGAGAGAGACAGAGAACACTACCGGCAGCACTGTATGTATGGAGAGAGAGAGACACACACAGAGAACACTACCGGCAGCACTGTATGTATGGGGAGAGAGAGAGACACAGAGAACACTACCGGCAGCACTGTATGTATGGAGAGAGAGAGCACACTACCGGCAGCACTGTATGTATGGAGAGAGAGAGAGAGAGAGAGAACACTACCGGCAGCACTGTATGTATGGAGAGAGAGAGAGAGAGAGAGAGAGAGAGAGAGAGAGAGAGAGAGAGAGAGAGAGAACACTACCGGCAGCACTGCATGTATGGAGAGAGAGAAAGAGAACACTACCGGCAGCACTGCATGTATGGAGAGAGAGAAAGAGAACACTACCGGCAGCACTGCATGTATGGAGAGAGAGAGAGAACACTACCGGCAGGACTGTATGTATGGAGAGAGAGAGAGAACACTACCGGCAGCACTGTATGTATGGAGAGAGAGAGAACACTACCGGCAGCACTGTATGTATGGAGAGAGAGAGAACACTACCGGCAGCACTGTATGCAAGGGGAGAGAGAGAACACTACCGGCAGCACTGTATGCATGGGGGGAGAGAATACCGGAATGCATGGAGAGAGAGAATACTACTGGCAGTAATTGTATGCATGGGAGAGAGAGAACACTACCGCAGCACTGTATGCATGGAGAGAGAACACTACTGCAGCATCTGGTATTCATGGAGAGAGAGAGAGAGAGAGAGAGAATGACTACTGCAGCATTGTATGCATGGAGAGAGAGAATACTTACCGGCAGCACTGTATGCATGGAGAGTAGAGAGAGACAGAGAACACTACTGGCAGCACTGTATGCATGGGGGGTGGAGAGAGAGAACACTTGAATGTTAATTGTATGCATGGAGAGAGAACACTACCGCAGCACTGTGCGTATGGAGAGAGAACACTACCGCAGCACTGTATGCATGGGGGGGGGGTGGAGAGAACACTACCGGCAGCACTGTATGCATGGAGAGAGAGAAAACTACCGCCAGCACTGTATGCATGGAGAGAGAGAAAACTACTGCCAGCACTGTATGCATGGAGAGAGAGAAAACTACCGCCAGCACTGTATGTATGGAGAGAGAGAACACTACCGGCAGCACTGTATGTATGGAGAGAGAGAGAGAACACTACCGGCAGCACTGTATGTGTGGAGAGAGAAAACACTACCGGCAGCACTGTATGTGTGGAGAGAGAGAACACTACCGGCAGCACTGTATGTGTGGAGAGAGAGAACACCACCGGCAGCACTGTATGTGTGGAGAGAGAGAGAGAACACTACCGGCAGCACTGTATGTGTGGAGAGAGAGCATACTACCGGCAGCAGTGTATGTATAGAGAGCGCATACTACCGGCAGCCGTGTATGTATGGGTTATAAAGGAACGGTTCCCTTCAAACCCTCATGCACACAGTATTTGACCAATTCTATTTTTGGCAGAAGCTCCCATAGCCACAGATTATGGTCCCAGGACTTCCAGACAGTAATCAATAGACAAATTATTCATTGTTACTTGAGAACTTTGCTGTGCCCTCTGCTGACTGTCTAGAAGTGTATTCATTTGCATTGTATTAATTTTAATTACTATATGTTCTTTATATTTGTATTTTATTATAGTTATCACAGAAATCTTAATGTTATGTGCATATGGACTAGTCACGACTAAAAGTAAAGAATTCTATGTTGGTTCCGTTTGGAATTGGGTGTCCTGTGTGGATTTTTCCGAATCCTAGTAACAGAGTCTTTGGATCTGTAGGCTGGCTGTACGGTTTTTCCTAGACCTGTGATAAATCAAGAGAGCTAGGCCTGAGATCCGCAAGTGCCTTTGTAAAGGCAATAGCAATCAATGTAAGCATGCAGAGGGGACGATACCTCCCTGGAAGGAGAGCTGCAGAGGAATAGGCAGAGGGGACGATACCTGCCTGGAAGGAGAGAGCTGCAACGCCGTAGGCAGAGGGAATGATACCTGCCTGGAAGGAGAGAGCTGCAACACCGTAGGTAGAGGGAACGATACCTGCCTGGAAGGAGAGAGCTGCAACAGCGTAGGCAGAAGGAATGATACCAGCCTGGAAGGAGAGCAGCAGCGGCGTAGGCAGAGGGAACGATACCTGCCTGGAAGGAGAGAGCAGCGGCATAGGAAGAGGGGACGATACCTGCCTGGAAGGAGGGCTGCAGAGGAATAGGCAGAGGGGACGATACCTGCCTGGATGGAGAGAGCAGCAGCGGCATAGGAAGAGGGGACAATACCTGACTGGAAGGAGAAAGCTGCAGAGGAATAGGCAGAGGGGACGATACCTGCCTGGAAGGAGAGCTGCAGCGGCATAGGATGAGGGGACGATACCTGCCTGGAAGGAGAGCTGCAGAGGAATAGGCAGAGGGGACGATACCTGCCTGGAAGGAGAGCTGCAGAGGAATAGGCAGAGGGGACGATACCTGCCTGGAAGGAGAGCTGCAGAGGAATAGGCAGATAGGACAATACCTGCCTGGAAGGAAAGCTGCAGAGGAATAGGCAGAGAGGACGATACCTGCCTGGAAGGAGAGCTGCAGAGGAATAGGCAGAGGGGACAATACCTGCCTGGAAGGAGAGCTGCAGAGGAATGGCAGATGGGACAATACCTGCCTGGATACCTGCCTGGAAGGAGAGCTGCAGAGGAATAGGCAGAGGGGACGATACCTGCCTGGAAGGAGAGCTGCAGAGGAATAGGCAGAGGGGACGATACCTGCCTGGAAGGAGAGCTGCAGAGGAATAGGCAGAGGGGACGATACCTGCCTGGAAGGAGAGCTGCAGAGGAATAGGCAGATAGGACAATACCTGCCTGGAAGGAAAGCCGCAGAGGAATAGGCAGAGAGGACGATACCTGCCTGGAAGGAGAGCTGCAGAGGAATAGGCAGAGGGGACAATACCTGCCTGGAAGGAGAGCTGCAGAGGAATTGGCAGATGGGACAATACCAGCCTGGAAGGAAAGCTGCAGAGGAATAGGCAGAGAGGACGATACCTGCCTGGAAGGAGAGCTGCAGAGGAATAGGCAGAGGGGACAATACCTGCCTGGAAGGAGAGCTGCAGAGGAATAGGCAGAGGGGACGATACCTGCCTGGAAGGAGAGAGCTGCAACACCGTAGGCAGAGGGAATGATACCTGCCTGGAAGGAAAGCTGCAGAGGAATAGGCAGAGGGGACAATACCTGCCTGGAAGGAGAGCTGCAGAGGAATAGGCAGAGGGGACGATACCTGCCTGTAAGGAGAGCTGCAGAGGAATAGGCAGAGGGGACGATACCTGCCTGTAAGGAGAGCTGCAGAGGAATAGGCAGAGGGGACAATACCTGCCTGGAAGGAGAGCTGCAGAGGAATAGGCAGAGGGGACGATACCTGCCTGTAAGGAGAGCTGCAGAGGAATAGGCAGAGGGGACGATACCTGCCTGGAAGGAGAGCTGCAGCCGAGTGGAAGAGATCCGGAGAGACCCCAGTCAAGCTTCAGCAACTGGGGCTAAAGAGTTCCAGGGTCCCTGCAAACGGCAAGGAAGCAGACTGGGCGGAGGTTCTCGGTCGGAGTACAGGAGCTATGTCACTATTAATCTACTTTTGTCTTTTACTTCGTGAAACAGAAGCGATTTCTGTTTTATGTTAACAGTTGAGACCCTGTGATAGATAATACCTTATTTTGAAAATTCTCAGCATTATTTAAATGAATTTAATTATTTTTTTAAACAATTAGTATTTTACCATCCAGTGGAAGATTTGCATTGTTTCTATTGGTTTTGTTTACTGAAAAACAACATTATCTTTTACAGTTTGACCAGAAATACAGATTACTTTTAAAATAGTTTATTTATTTCGGAAAATAGACATCAGTTTTGAAAAATGTCAGAAAATAAATCTAAGATTAACAGTCTGAGATCAGAAGGTGGAGAGGCCAGACACATTGTAACATAATACTGTGCAGGATACAAAAATATATATTTATATAATTAGATGGACAAACAGAATAAACTGGGAGTGAATGACATGGAAAGGAGGACACTCTGTATGACAGACTAGTAAATAAAGGTCAAGAAGAGAAATCAGCTCTAATGTGTGGGGGAACCTAGAGCTCTGTGATTATGGGGGTGAAGCTGTAATGTGTGGGGTAACCTAGAGCTCTGTGATTATGGGGGGTGAAGCTGTAATGTGTGGAGGAACCTAGAGCTCTGTGATTATGGGGGGTGAACCTAGAGCTCTGTGATTATGGGGGTGAAGCTGTAATGTGTGGGGGAACCTAGAGCTCTGATTATGGGTGGTGAACCTAGAGCTCTGTGATTATGGGGGTGAAGCTGTAATGTGTGGGGGAACCTAGAGCTCTGTGATTATGGGGGTGAAGCTGTAATGTGTGGGGGAACCTAGAGCTCTGTGATTATGGGGGGTGAAGCTGTAATGTGTGGGGGAACCTAGAAATCTGTTTTTTTGGGGTGAAGCTGTAAGGTGTGAGGGGAACCCAGAGCTCTGTCATTATGGGGGTGAAGCTGTAAGATGTGGGGTAACCTAGAGCTCTGTTTATGTGGGGGTGAAGCTGTAAGGTGTGGCAGAACCTAGAGCTCTGATTATGGGGGGGTGAAGCTTTAAGGTGTGGCAGAACCTAGAGATCTGATTTTTGGGGTGAAGCTGTAAGGTGTGGCAGAACCTAGAGATCTAATTTTTGGGGTGAAGCTGTAAGGTTTGGGGGAACCTTGAGATCTGATTTTTTTGGGGTGAAGCTGTAAGGTGTAGATAAATTCAGAGATGTGATTTTTTTGGGGGTGAAGCTGTAAGGTGTGGAGAAACCTAGAGATCTGATTTTTTGGGGGTGAAGCTGTAAGGTTTGGGGGAACCTTGAGCTCTGATTATGGGGGTGAAGCTGTAAGGTGTGGAGAAACCTAGAGATCTGATTTTTTGGGGGTGAAGCTGTAAGGTGTGGAGAAACCTAGAGATCTGATTTTTTGGGGGTGAAGCTGTAAGGTGTGGAGAAACCTAGAGATCTGATTTTTTGGGGGTGAAGCTGTAAGGTGTGGAGAAACCTAGAGATCTGATTTTTTGGGGGTGAAGCTGTAAGGTGTGGAGAAACCTAGAGATCTGATTTTTTTGGGGTGAAGCTGTAAGGTGTGGAGAAACCTAGAGATCTGAAGCTGTAAGGTGTGGAGAAACCTAGAGATCTGATTTTTTGGGGGTGAAGCTGTAAGGTGTGGAGAAACCTAGAGATCTGATTTTTTGGGGGTGAAGCTGTAAGGTGTGGAGAAACCTAGAGATCTGATTTTTTGGGGGTGAAGCTGTAAGGTGTGGAGAAACCTAGAGATCTGATTTTTTTGGGGTGAAGCTGTAAGGTGTGGAGAAACCTAGAGATCTGATTTTTTTGGGGTGAAGCTGTAAGGTGTGGAGAAACCTAGAGATCTGATTTTTTTGGGGTGAAGCTGTAAGGTGTAGATAAATCTAGAGACGTGATTTTTTGGGGTGAAGCTGTAAGGTGTGGGTGAACGTAGAGCTCTGTGATTATGGTGGTGATGCTGTAAGATATGGGGGACCCTAGAAGCTCTGTGATAATGGGGATAAGGGAGTAAGCAGAAATGTATGGAGTGCTGAAATGGCAAAGGGAGGAGCTGTAATATATGGAAGTAATATGGTTTCCTGTGATAAATGCAGAAAAGCTGTTACGGGAGGGGAATAGTGGGAAAGCAAGGTGAGAGAATGGTGCCGAGAAGCAGATGCAAGGGTTGGAAAAGTACATGTGATGAGAGATATGATGGGATTAAAAACCCTCTGTTTGGGACAACAAATATCTCTGAACACATTTTAAAACACACAACAAACCAAAACAGAGAAAAACACAAAATGAGATTCCCTGCGTGTGCCACCATCACAGAGAAACAAAACACTCAGAGAGGAGACATTACTGTCTGAGAACGGCTCCATTACACGGGGGAGACGCACAGGGACCTTAAGGATGGTTGCCATTTACATGATCTCCTAGCAGGAGCAGAGGACATTCTTCAAACAGTCAGAGACCGCCCTGATCAGTCTGAGCGCGAGGTAGGGGATGCCAACAGTTGGAGGAGGAAACGATGAAGGACTAACTCTCAGAAACCTACAGATCAGAAGACATGTATTCCTATCACTTCCACCAGGGACTGGAAGAGAAGGCGTTCATTGGGTCCTTGTAAACGTCACAAACTTTGGAACAAGGCAGATTTCATGTTTATATAGTGGTATATCACTGGCCACTGGCAATAATTATGGCAACCTCAGACAGATGTGGAGGGAGGCTAAGGTGGAAACATCTGCTAAGAAGAACAGATTGAGGTTTTAAGGCTTGCTGAGAATAGCAGGAGTGCCAAATAAAGACTATTCCTTATGGGCTACAAACAAACTAGAACATATTTAGCTTCCCACACAAAGAGCTGATCAAACAAACCCAAATAAAACCAAACTACACAATACAGATTTACTTTGTTTCATGGAAACCAGCCTGTTGCAGTTAAGGCAGTGATGCACTGCCTGGACACTCTGGTTACCCATCTCCTGTAGAGCTTGAGACAGTGGTGGAAATGGAGTTTTGCATATACTGACTGGAGAGTCGGGAAGGGGTACCAGCCCTGTGTATGCCCAGCCCTCCCCATCATTAGTTCAGTAGGTTTCCCTGTTCCTGTGCCCGGGTCAGACTGTCCTTCCTGTGGAGGTGATGCACACCCATTCTTTTTGGACTCCGATGTGGGCGTCCAGAAGGGGGTTTTTCTGCACATAACCCATCCTCCGGTGGTATATATGTCTCCCCAATGTCGTCCTCTATCACGGTCTCCTGATCTGCCTCCTCCGAGAGGACCTGCTGCTCAGCGGCTTCTTCCTCTTCCTCCACTGCTCCAGACAGAAGGTCCTGTGCTTCCTCTTGGGAGAATTCCTTCCCATACTCATTTGGTAGAGGCCCTCTCCGGGCCCCAACAACCTCAGCATCTCGGCTGCTGCTCCATCCAAGCCCTGAGCTTTCCCTGTCTGAGTAAGCTTGAGCGGCCCGGCTGAGTTCCTGCATAGATTGGCTGAATCTTTGTTGCAGTTCCAGAGCTGTGTCCCTGCTGAAGGAAGTGCGATGTGCCAGGGACCTCTCCGTGCTGGGTGCCGCCTTTTCCACAAACATTTTTTGCCAGTTTGCCAACATGTCCTCTTCAGAGCTCGCAGAGCTGGCAACTGCACTACTAAGAGGAGATCGGGCAGGGATATCTGCACTCCGTGCCCGCTGTGGGTAGTTTGCTGCAGACGCTGGGCTATTGGGAACTGTGCGATGCCTGTCTGGACTGCCCTCCTCACCCTGCACAAGGCTAAGGGAGATTGCTTGCCGGGTGGCATAGGTACAGTTGGGTAGTGGGCTATTTTTGGGGATTCGCACCTTTTCATCTGAGAACTCTATCACCTTGCGGCCAGGGTACATGGGATGTGGTGGGGGTGGTGTGGGGTACGGGCTCAGTTTCTCAAAAGTAGGAGGGTCCTCAGAGGTGCTATCTACACTACTCTGCTGTTGGAGACCCCCATTTTGCTGCCTGCTCTCCTCCACCCTCTCACCTGGGCAACTCATGTCCACATGCACAAAAACATCCTCTGCAGTGGGGCCGCTGCCACTGCTAGATGTGGCAGAGTTTAGGATGAGCGACTCTGGCTTTTCTAGTACACGGGCGATGATAGAACTGGGCACCACATCAGAGTGTGAAAGACCAGGTGGAGGGGTCTCCTGTCCAGATCGTGGAGATGATGCTGTGCTTTCAAAGTGTTTGCTCACCATGTCCTGTAGTTTGTACGGCAACTGTATAGGAAAGAACCAACAGATCAACGCGAGGGAGTGGAAGCACTCACACACTAACATATGGGAGAAGCAAACACATCAACGATGTGGGGAAGCAGACAAGCACATAAAGTGCTTTAAGGGTTTGGAGTATTCCCTTACACAAATACAGCATGATCGGAGAAATTTATGAACTATTAATACTCACATCTGCAAACTTGTGGTTTCGGAAATGGGACTTGTTGCATTTAAGTAGCTGAACAGCTAGGTTACAGTCCTGCCGATAGCGTTCCTGTAATGAGAGTGACCATTTATGGAATAAGTAGTAACTAAGAAAAGGCTTTTTGTTGCATTCATCCACAAGAGCACCGGGCTGCTCACCACATTCTCCCCCCGACCATCGTGCCACTCACCATATTCTATCCCATTAACATCGGCAAGCTCGCCACATTCTATTCTATTAACACAGAGCTGCTCACCACAGTCTATTCCACGAGCAACGAGCCACTTGCCACATTCTATCCCATGAATACCGGCCCGCTTGCCACATTCTATCCCATTAACACCGAGCTGCTCGCCACATTCTATCCCATTAACACCGGGCCGCTCGCCACATACTATCCCATTAACACCAGCCACCTCGCCACATTCTATCCCATTAACACCGGGCCTCTCACCGCATTCTTTCCCATTAACACCGGGCCGCTCGCCACATACTATCCCATTAACACCAGCCACCTCGCCACATTCTATCCCATTAACACCGGGCCTCTCACCGCATTCTTTCCCATTAACACCGGGCCGCTCGCCACATACTATCCCATTAACACCAGCCACCTCGCCACATTCTATCCCATTAACACCGGGCCTCTCACCGCATTCTTTCCCATTAACACCGGGCCGCTCGCCACATACTATCCCATTGCCAGCCACATTCTATCCCATTAACACCGCTCGTCACATTCTATCCCTGCACCAGGCCACTCACCACATTCTATCCCATTAACAACGGTCGCTCGTCACATTCTATCCCATTAATCCCATTAACACGGGCTTCGCTCGCCACATACATTCTATCCCATTAACACCCGGCCACCTCGCCACATTCTATCCATTAACACCCGGCCTCTCACCGCATTCTTTCCCATTAACACCGGGCCACTCACCAGATTCTATTCCACGAGCAACAAGCTGCTCAACACATTCTATCCCATGAATACCGGCCAGCTCGCTACACTATCCCATTAACACTGGTTTGCTCTTCGCATTCTATCCCATTAACACCGGCCGCTCACCACATTCTCCTGCCAACCACTGTGCCACTGACCATATTCTATCCCATTAACACCAGGTCGCTCGTCACATTCTATCCCATTAACACCAGGCCACTCACCACATTCTATCCCATTAACACCGGGTCGCTCGTCACATTCTATCCCATTAACACCGGGTCGCTCGTCACATTCTATCCCATTAACACCGGCCAGCTCACCACATTCTTTCCCATTAACACCGGGCCACTCACTACATTCTATCCCATTAACACCGGGCCACTCACTACATTCTATCCCATTAACACCAGGCCATTCGTCACATTCTATCCCATTAACACCGGCCGCTCGTCACATTCTATTCCATTAACACCGGGCCACTCACCACATTCTATCCCATTAACACCGGGTCGCTCGTCACATTCTATCCCATTAACACCGGGTCGCTTGTCACATTCTATCCCATTAACACCGGCCAGCTCACCACATTCTATCCCATTAACACCGGCCAGCTCACCACATTCTATCCCATTAACACCGGGTTGCTAGTCATATTCTATCCCATTAACACCGGGTCGCTCGTCACATTCTATCCCATTTACACCGGCCGCTCGTCACATTCTATCCCATTTACATCGGCCGCTCGTCACATTCTATCCCATTTACATCGGCCGCTCGTCACAAGCTATCCCCTTACATCGGCCGCTCGTCACATTCTATCCCATTACATCGGCCGCTCGTCACATTCTATCCCATTACATCGGCCGCTCGTCACATTCTATCCCATTAACACCGGCCAGCTCACCACATTCTGTCCCATTAACACCGGGTTGCTAGTCATATTCTATCCCATTAACACCGGGCCACTCACCACATTCTATCCCATTAACACCGGGTCGCTCGTCACATTCTTTCCCATTAACACCGGCCACTCGTCACATTCTTTCCCATTAACACCGGCCACTCGTCACATTCTTTCCCATTAACACCGGCCACTCGTCACATTCTTTCCCATTAACACCGGCCACTCGTCACATTCTTTCCCATTAACACCGTGCCACTCAGATTCTAATCCACGAGCAACAAGATGCTCACCACATTCTATCCCACGAATACCGGCCAGCTCGCCACATTCTATCCCATTAACATGGGATCGCTCTTCACATTCTATCCCATTAACACCGGGCCGCTCACCACATTCTATCCCATTAACAATGGGCCGCTCGCCACATACTATCCCATTAACAACGGGCCACTCGCCACATACTATCCCATTAAAACCAGCCAGCTCGCCACATTCTATCCCATTAACACCGGCCAGCTCGCCACATTCTATCCCATTAACACCGGCCAGCTCGCCACATTCTATCCCATTAACAATGGGCCGCTCGCCACATACTATCCCATTAACAACGGGCCACTCGCCACATACTATCCCATTAAAACCAGCCAGCTCACCACATTCTATCCCATTAACAATGGGCCGCTCGCCACATACTATCCCATTAACAACGGGCCACTCGCCACATACTATCCCATTAAAACCAGCCAGCTCGCCACATTCTATCCCATTAACACCGGCCAGCTCGCCACATTCTATCCCATTAAAACCAGCCAGCTCGCCACATTCTATCCCATTAACACCGGCCAGCTCGCCACATTCTATCCCATTAACACCGGCCAGCTCGCCACATTCTATCCCATTAACACTGGGTCACTTCACATTCTATCCCTTTAACACCGGCTGCTCACCACATTCTCCTGCCGACCACTGTGCCACTCACCATATTTTATCCCATTAACACCGGGTCGCTCGTCACATTCTATCCCATTAACACAGGCCACTGGCCACATTCTATCCCATTAACACAGGCCAATGGCCACATTCTATCCCATTAACACAGGCCAATGGCCACATTCTATCCCATTAACACAGGCCAATGGCCACATTCTATCCCATTAACACAGGCCAATGGCCACATTCTATCCCATTAACACCGGCCACTGGCCACATTCTATCCCATTAACACCGGGTCGCTTGTCGTATTCTATCCCATTAACACCAGGCAACCCGCCACGTTCAATCCCACTTACACCTGCCAGCTCGTCACATTCTATCCCATTAACTCCGGGCCACTCGCCACATTTTATCCCATTAACACTGGGCCACTCGCCACATTCTGTCCCATTAACATTGGGCCACTCGCCACGTTCTATCCCATTTACACCTGCCAGCTCGTCACATACTATCCCATTAACACCCGCCAGCTCGTCACATTCTATCCCATTCACACCGGGCCGCTCGCCACATTCTATCCCATTAACACCGGCTGCTCACTACATTCTCCTGCTGACCACTGTGCCACTCACCATATTCTATCCCATAAATACTGGGCCACATTGTATACAATGATATTATCACCTCCTAGTTTACATCTAACGTGCAGAGAACACACAATGTCAGTTTACCGCTATCACCCTAAAATATGTAAAGACATATGAAGACCATTTTACATTTAATTCTTCCAGCTTGTTGATTGTGGTCTTTGCGTCCAATAATTTGTTGGTTAGTTCCACAATCTCCCAATCCAGAGTCTTCCGATCCATTTCAGCTTTTTTAATCTGCAAGAAGTTTTATATTTTTAGTACGAGACAAAACAAAGGTTGTCCCCATAGAGACTGTAGACAGAGGATAAAAAAGTGCAATCTAAAAATAAATAAAAATTTTAAAAAAAAAAAGGATTAGAGACCAGGAGAGTGAAAGGTGCAGAGTGAGAGTGCTAACCTGCCCACCAGGGAGAGTCTGTATTGGGACATGGGAGACAGAAGGCCAAGATAAGGTAAGGTTTGATAAATCCAGACAGGACAGGACAGGGACCCCAAACATGAGATCCCAACCAACCAATTGTTCCCCCTTATCTACCAAACGCAACTGAATAGATCCAGCTTTGACTGAGCGATGCCTGGATGGAAAAGCAACAGCATGAAGCCGGGAGAAGAGAGAGAAAAAAAGAAATAAATTGGAAGAATTCAGAAAGGAGTGAATCACATGGGAGATTATCCAACAACTGTCAGCACAAATAAACTTCTCCGGCGCCAACACTCCACAAAACCCCCCCTCCCCCCCCCGCACAACCACTCTGCACAGACACCCCGCATACACACTCCCCCTGAGCAAACACACTTGTTACAAAGTGCTATTTGTAACTGGCCCTTTAAATAGCAAATTTCCCTGCTTCCCTGGGTTGTGGAGAAGGCTATTTGCTAGCCTCCTTCCACATGACTATGGCCCCTTGGAGATTGTGAGAACTTATGCACCTTTATTGAGTGTGTATGGCCCTTTAAGACAGCCAGTGGGCATATTGGGGCTTATGGACTCTTTATGGGACTGGTGCTGGCCCTTTAAACACCTTTTGGGACATCAGGAAGATTGAGACACTGCCCCTTTAAGACGGTGTCCCCAGACTTGTTTGGGACACTGTCCCTTTAAGACGGTGTCCCCTGTGTCCCCAGACCTGGTTAAAACTCTTTGTGCCTGGCTATTTCCCACTTGGTTCAGTAAATGGGGCTTACTGAACCAAGTACCACACAGGCAGACCACCCAGAAGTGGAAGTGTGCAGGCAATTTACCTCCCAGAAGCTGCGGTTAACCGCAGCTTAATTGACAATGCTGGGTGGCCTTTGTTCGTTTGCCGAACACGTGGCGGCGGCCATCTTTGTTAATGCGAACGAGGTCAGCGGTATGTGTAGCCAAATTCATGGAACTAAAATCGGCACACATTTCCGCGAACACCGCTGAGCCCTACCTTCTCCCACAATGATTTTACATTCGGCGATGGGACTTGGTCGTTTTTTCAGCCTGAAATAGACCGGCCGCACAGCCCAAATCTATGGAACTGTTTTGGGCAGGAAAAAGTGCTTGCGGTCGGTAATAAAGGGACCTCCAGCTAACTTTTTAACCCCTGCATGGATTTGGCTGATTTTTGGTTATGTTTATATTTAAAGTGTGCTGATTCCAAATATGAAGATTGGATGTGTAGTTTTAAAGATATAGTACATGTATAAAAACTGTATTTTTCCTGCTTGTGATAATTATGTTAAGCACTGTGTGCCATAATTAGATCACAGGCAGAGGGGAGGATTCTTGGATGTAATTGCTGGGAGTGTTTCTGTAATGTACGTTTATGATTGGTGGTTCTGTAAACCCCTGTGGGCGGTCCCGTATGTGTTAAACCTGCATAAAAGAAGGCCCTTTGGTGCCAAGTAAACAGATCTTCTTGACCCTCAATACGCAGCTTTGTCTCGTTATTGGAGGGAACTGCTATATCACACTGGGGATTGCTATGCTCTGCACATTCCCCTGAGCTTTTAATCACTTAGCTCTTTTAAGAGCCTGTTACGCTCTCCTGGAGGAGAGGTCTTCCCCACACGGTCCTGGAGGACAGAAGCTACGGCGGTTGTGGAGTCTGCGGTGGTTGTGGTGTCTGCTGCAGTGTTTGGAGTCTTCAGAAAGTGCTAGGAGCATCCATCAACGGAGGGTACTCTGTCGGAGTACAGGGAGCTCCATAACAACACCGTGTACACACTCCCGCAACACGCCCCCCCTGCGCAAACACCCCGCGCACGCGCCCCCCGCGCCAACACCCCGCGCATGCGCCCCCCGTGCCAACACCCGCGCCAACACCCCGCGCTCCCCCTGCACAAACACCCCGCTTACACGCCCACCCCAACACCCTGCGCCTACGTTCCCCCCGGCGCCAACACTCTCTACGCGCCAGCGCCAACCTCCGCTGCGCCCCCAGCAACCTCGCACGCCTGCGCCCAACCAACAGCGCGCTCCCCTGCACAAACACCCGGCTTGCGCCAACACCCAGCGCCAAGCAGCCTCGCTTTCCCCTGCAGCGCCAACCTCTGCCCCAGCGCCAACACTCCTTTTACGCCCCAGCGTAACACTCACACGCCCCCAGCGCCAACGCTCCGCACCCACCCTCGTAACACTCGAACCACGCCCACCCTCAGCACTCCAACACCCTGCGCATCCACACCTCCCCCTGAGCAAACACTCTGCGCACACACTCCCCCTGAGCAAACACACCGTGCACACACTCCCCCTGAGCAAACACACCGTGCACACACCCCCCCTGAGCAAACACACCGTGCACACACTCCCCTTACGAAAAGACTCGCTTAACCTCTTCACTACCAAACACTTTTTGAATGAATATAAATATTAGCATACCATGTATTCGAAGCAAGGGATGCATACCGCATATAAAGATATAACACATTTCACATATATATTGTATTGCATTAAACTTAATGCCCACATACAGTAAATACGGTTAAATCTAAAATAAAGGTATTTAAAACTGCTCTAGGAATCATTATCAATTTCTGGAAGGCACTAATATAAGGCTGATAGTGAAATTGTAGAGCTACTTCACTCCTTCCCTCCCTGACGGTAGGAATGGTATGACCCACTGAAACTTCCTTTAATGTTTGAAAGCAGGGGGTGAGAGCATTCAATCAGTGACTTCTAGAAGATAAATGTGTTGCTCTACAGACTGGTGATTATAAATAGAGTATAAATGAGGGTGAGAGGATATGTTGGCTACATTTCTATACTGAAAAAAAAAAATGTAAACAAAAAAGTTTGTACCAAGTTTTGAAAAGGTTAATGTACACATTGTCTGTAAACATCTAATGTACAATTCTATCCTGTATAAACCAACCATTACAAGCCAACGAGGAACGACAGCCTAACAGAACAGTAAAATAGTGCGAGACCAAAGATGTGTAAAATGTGTAAAAATGTCTATAGACAAAGCTCCCATAACAGTATAGATCTGGAAACACAGACTGTAGCGAATGACATTGGGCTGTCCTCAGAATTATGTGTATTCGGATGTTTTCCGTTAATTTTTGCCATATGTATGTAAAGTGTATGCAGCATTCGACTGATTGTTCGGTAAAATCACTCCAGTTATTATGCTAGTGAAACTACCTAACAATCAGACCACCTCAGGATTAAGTGTGCCTCCAATTACCGTTCGCAACAATGTCGCAAACGAGTAATTGGCAGTCAGTGCAGTGTGTGCTTTGTCCTCTGGGTGGCCGCCATTCGGGGGTCGAACACGTGGCGGCGGCCATCTTAAATCCCGAACAGCTGTGTTTTGCCGTTGAGTGTCTGGAACCCAAATCTGACACTCGGCTAGGCAAACACCGCTTAGACCTCCACACTGCCGTCCCTTCGTGTAGAAACTACCGAACGGCTCCCCGTTCGGTAGAAAGAACCCCACGAACAAGGGGGTTTATCCGAATCCTCACCAGTCTCCATAACCCAAGTCGTTCGGGCATTTTGTTCCCTTTTTCTGTGACCAACCACAGGGCCAAAACGTATGGAACCCATTTCGGCTGTTAACCCCAGCATGGTCTGTCTTTATTACCTCCAGGAATTTCCCGAACCCCTGGTCCGATCTAGGTGATTTTTGAATATGTTTCTCACCCAGATCAGGGCTACCAGGAGATGTAATATTTAAAGTAGTACCCCTATGTTTAAGGGTACATCCAGAAAATCAGGGGAAATGTGTCCTGCATAATGGGATTATGAGTCATACTAGGGGAGGAGATGTGTGGGCGGCTACTCATATATGATTTGTGTATTGTATAATTACTGTAAATCCCTCCCTTGCATGGGAGAAAGCTTTAAAAGAAGGTTGAGTGATTAAAAGTTCAGTTCTGCTCCTGATGCTGTGTGTCGTCCGGTCATTGGGATCGATGTTGGGATATTATTGGATTGTCTTGCCTGCTGTAATTATTGCCTTATGGATTTCTAATACTTGTTCTTGAGCCTCACTGGGATCTTAAGTGGAGATAACCTGTGGAATACCAGCTCTCCGCTACACAGACATACTGACAGTAATCCACAGAGGAAAAAAAACAAACAAACATAACATAAAACATACAAAACAATAACAATATATTAACCCCTTAAAGGGAAACTCCAGTGCCAGGAAAACAATCCGTTTTCCTGGCACTGCAGGTCCCCTCTCCCTCCCACCTCCGGTTGCTGAAGGGGAGAAAACCCCTTCAGTCACTTACCTGAGACCCCCGCATGCGCATTAGAGCTTCACATAGGAAAGCATTGAAAATTGAGCGACGCTTGAGGTCCTCACACAGCGTGTGGGGGGGGGAGATTACCACTAAGGGGGTGGGGGAGGAGGGGAATGTCTACTAACGGGTTTGGGAGAGGGAGGGCCACTAAGGGGGAAGGGAGGAGTGAGAAGACCACCAAGGGGGGACTACAGGGGGCCAAGGGAGAGCACTAAGGGACAGAAGGGGAGAACACGGAGGGACAGGAGGGAAGGGGAAATCAATAAATTGACAGGGGGGAGAGCACTATGAAAAAAAATAGAAAAAAATAAAGAGCTGCTCCCCTCTCAGTCTCTATCCTACCCCACAAACCCGCTCTTTTACACTACACACATACACAATACACCCCCCCCCCAAACACACACACACACAGAAACACACAATGCATCCCTACTCAGACACACCCGATGCATCCCTTACGTTCACACAAACACTCATTCTCTTACACACAAAATGCATCTCTTACACAATCAATGCACCCCTTACAGACACACACTGCATTCAATTAAATACACAGAAACACACCTTGCACCCCTTACACACACACACCCAGAAACATACAATGCATTCCTTACACGCAAACACACACTGCATCCCCTATAAACACACTACATCCCTTACAGAAATTGGTATCCCTATACACTACATTCTATAAGAACACACACGTTGCATCCTCTACAATAACACATAAAACATCCCCTCCACACATACACTCCACTTCCTGTGAGAGAACTCACGGGTGGGCCATGTAGGTGGATTTATGGGTGGGCATTGTAGGCATACTCACGGTCAAGCCCTGGGGGCCCAGACCCTGAGCTGTGTAAGGGGCCCTAAAAAATGGAGCTGCTTCCTGTTCGTTAATTGTTGTGAGCACTGTTAAAAACAGTCTCCTGAGAGCCTCTTCTACACCAGACCTGTGGAGCCAGGCAGAGCCCATCATCAGCCTCTTGTCCTCATCTGGTGGTAAGTAGGCAATCCAATATATTATTAGTGGCACTAATCTCTAATTTACCTCACATTAAATGGATACTATAGTCACCAGAAGCACTACAGCTTAATGTAGTGGTTCTGGTGTCTATAGCCTGTGCCTGTAGGCTTTTTAATTTAAACACTGTCTTTTCAGATAAAAGACACTTTGTGAAGACTGGCGTTGGCCCATATGGCAGAGCATATGGGCGGGGCATTGTGATGTCACATGGTGGGCAGGACATATGGGGGGGGGGCGGCAAATTTTATTTTTGCCTAGGGCGGCAAAAATCCATGCACCGGCCATGAGGGTAGTGGGAGTTGGCACCCAGACCACTCCAATGGGCAGAAATGGTCTGGGTGCCTGGAGTGTCCCTTTAAGGACTGAGCCAAATGTACACATTGTGATCGAAACAAAACGTAAACAAAATCTGGAATTTGACTATATGTCTGTTCAACCGTGCACCCACACTTATTATATATCATTTTATTCAGGGGAAACAGGGCTTTCATTTAACATCAAATATTTAGGTATGAAACAATTTAATATGAATAAAATATGAAAAAAAATAAGACTTACATTTTTTAAAGTTCTACGTGACATTCTAACTGTGAATGTCATAATACGGTTTGCTTTTACTGCAATAAAATACATATTTGTATTCAGCGATGTCTCACGTGTAAAACAGTACCCCCTATGTACAGGTTTTATGGTGTTTTGGGAAGTTACAGGGTCAAATATAGCACGTTACATTTTTCTCACATGGAAATTCGCCAGATTGGTTACGTTGCCTTGGAGACCCTATGGTAGCTCAGGAATGAGAATTACCCCCATGACGGCATACCATTTGCAATATTAGACAAACCAAGGTATTGCAAATGGGTTAGGTCTAGTCTTCTTAGTAGCCACTTAATCACAAACACTGGCCAAAGTTAGCATTAATATTTGTTTGTGTGTGAAAAATGCAAAAAACTAATTTGAATGCCAATCTTGGACAACAATCTGGCGAATTTCAATGTGAAAAAACTGAAACGCAAGCTTTATAGTTGACTCTGTAACTTTTGAAAACACCATAAACATGTACATGAGGGGTACTGTACAGTGGGTCTGCGTGGGAGTGCAGCAGTGGGTCTGCGTGGGAGTGCAGCAGTGGGTCTCACCTGTATGTGTTATAACTTATTGTTTGTGACACTTTACAGGATTTCTTTAATGAATCGTAAAGATGTAAAAGTTACTGTGTGATATGAAAAGCTTTAGTATACTGTTATTTTTATATATCCAGACTCAGTGTTGGATGGCTTGCAGCCATGTATATTTCTTAAAGCAACAGGTTATGACCACCACCACTGACAATTCCAGTTTCCACCACTTTCAAACAGCAGTTGGTGGAGTCCAATCTTTACTTTAGGGCAGGAAGGTGTAAAACGTTGATATACGCTGTAGGCTGTCTACTTAGTCACCAAGTGAAATAATAAGATGGTTGGCTCGTGGCTCCAGTCTAGAGATCAACATGACTGCACAATTCTACTATCAACATTAAAAATAAAATAAAAGGAATGGGTTAAATACCAGCGTGTGCAGCTTCTCCTCCAGATCCTGATTGGTTCTCTGTGAGGCGGTGTAGCTGTTCTGCAATCTGCAGAGAAACATGGGGGGGGGGGCGGAGTTAGTGGAAAGCACTGAGCTCCAAGTGAAAGTTGCATTCGGAGAGTAGGGACACGGAGGGGGTAAAGAGCACCAGGTGAGAAGCACCAAGTGTACGTACAGGGTGGGCGAGTAAGTGGTGGTACCGCTACCCAGTACCTGCGGAACTTGTCTTTAAATTTCTCTAGTTCCTCTCGGTTGCGATTCAGCTCCATTTCTAGGTAATGCCTTCCTGCTTCCACTTCATGCTCCAAAGCTTCCATTTTTGTAGTGGCAAATGCCAGGCGACGGCGCAACTCATCATTCTGGTGCTGCAGAAATCTGGAGAATACAGACATTGAGCTAGCCAAGTGCCCCTCGTTAACACTGTAACAGCAAGTATTGCCCCCTCCCCATCCAATAAAGCAGTAATATACTAACACACTGAAAACTGACTTCATCGCCTTTGGTGGGTTCATGCTCAGATCTCAAGCTGTGTTTCGCTTACTGTCATAACATGGTGGACCTATTCCATAGATGGCAGGGGTTAGACCAGACGGCAGGGGAGGGGTTAGACCAGACGGCAGGGGAGGGGTTTGAATAGACAGGGACCCGGGTCTGACAATATATGTTTTAGCTGTGTGATCCCTTCCCGGGGCACTGAGCCCGAAAGCTTAAACCCCCTGTATGTAATGTGTCTTAAGGTGTAACCCTGTGTGCTGTTGGTATCTCCCAGAGCAGGAGATGGCTATCTGTAACCTAGTCCCCTCCTGCCTGGGATTGTGTTATGTTGAATGGAGACCCCCTGTGGGGTCTGTGCATAAAAGAAGCCTATTTGCAATAAAGAGAAGTCAGTGCTTAAACATCTAAAACTGTGTGTTGTCCTGTTATTGGAGGGAAGGAAGATTTAACCCCTGTGTCTGCTGTTCCAGCTGGCAGAGGAGCAACAGGGAAAATCCTTGTGTCATCTCTGCCTTGGAGTGCATAGAGCCAACTCCCCTTACTATGTAAGATTTCCTGATCGGCCGAAGGAAGGGAACTAGCGGGAGCAACCAGTTGGGTTACTGAGGCGTCCCGTTACAGATAGTATAGACAGCAGGGGAGGAATTACAACAAATGGGAGAGGATATAGATAGCTGGGGAGGAATTACAATAGATGAGAAGGAATAGTAGAGATAACAGGGGAGTAGTAAGAATAGATGGGACGGGATAGTAGAAATAGCAGGGGAGGAGTCAGAATAGATGGGAGGGAATAGTAAAGATAGCAGCACAGGATTCAGAATAGATGGGAGTGGACAGTAGAGATAGCAGGGGAGGAGTCAATAGATGGGACAGAGATAGCAAGGGAGGAGTCAATAGATGGGAGGGGATAGAGAGCAGGGGAGGAGTCAGAATAGATGGGAGGGAATAGTAGAGATGGTAGGAGAGGGGTTAATATAGACTGAGGGGGTTCATTTAGACAGTGGAGAGAGGTTAGAATAGATGGGAGGGGTTATACATATCTATTTACAGAGATACTTACTGGATTCGGTCTCCTTCAGTAAGTGAATCCTGCAGAAACAATTAAAGAAAGTCAGGCAGGAGGCACAGATCTTGCCCTGTGCTTCACATCATCACACCAGCTGTATTGGCCATCTCATGGAATGTGGTGTCAATCAGAAGCTGTACTGACCATCTTATGGAATGTGGTGTCAATCAGAAGCTGTACTGACCATCTCATGGAATGTGGGGTCAATCAGAAGCTGTACTGACCATCTCATGGAATGTGGGGTCAATCAGAAGCTGTACTGACCATCTCATGGAATGTGGTGTCAATCAGAAGCTGTACTGACCATCTCATGGAATGTGGTGTCAATCAGAAGCTGTACTGACCATCTCATGGAATGTGGAGTGTGGCAAACCTAGCCACCTAAGACTGTATTTACCTTATGTGTTGTTGTGCATTCAGACTGCCTGAACTGTCCATGTGCCCTATTCTGTATTTTATGTGAACGAGAGCATTCGTATTCGAGCACCAGCAAACTAACAAACTACCGAATGGGAGACCACACACAGGAGGTCGTGTGGCTCCCATTACGGATTTCAACAAGGTATCTTTCGGCAGTTAATAGAGGTTCAGGGTGGCCACCGTTCGGATACCGACCACGCGGCGGCTGCCATCTTGGATACTTTGTTAGCCCAGCTGTGTTTAGTCATCGAGTGCCTGGAACTAAAATCGGCTACTCGACGACATGAATACCGCTGGACTTCCAGGCCGTTCGGGAGCACCGGTCTTTCGGTAGTTTATCTCTATATGTGTATTCATGACTTTTGTGAAGAATTTGTATTCAAGTGTATTTCGTGCGGCGTTCGGCTGATTGTGCTGGGATCTGAGCGGTACTTTCACGAAGTATGCGCTCAGACCCCAGCTATCTGCCAAACGGTCATTCGGTACAATAGCACGAATAATATTGGAGTTATGGATTTTTATGTAAAAAGCCAGTTCTGCTGTACGGAGGGATAATCCACTTAACTGGATATTCTAGTGGGAGTATCCCTCTCTTACAGCAGTGCATGGTGGGAGAAATGTTCGGGATGTTAAGTTCCCCATGTAGTCCCCTACTGTACAACCCCTGTAAAGTCAGTAAGGAAACACCTTGCATGGGGAACCACATAAATACTGGAGCTTGTGAATAAAACCCCAGTTGACCCAGCCTATGTGTCGTCTAGTTCTTGGGAAGGATCGATCTGTATAATGCTACCGGGATTATTGTATGCTGTACTTGTTCTACCTGGATTATTATATGCTACCTCTCCGCTATGGTGTCAATCAGAAGCTGTACTGACCATCTCATGGAATGTGGTGTCAATCAGAAGCTGTACTGACCATCTCATAGAATGTGGTGTCAATCAGAAGCTGTACTGACCATCTCATAGAATGTGGTGTCAATCAGAAGCTGTACTGACCATCTAATAGAAGGAGGTGTTAATCAGGTACTGTACTGGTCATCTAATGGAATGAGGTGCCAATCAGGAAAAGTACAGGCCATCAAATGGAATGAGGTGCCAATCACGAGCTGTACTGACCATCTAGTGCAGGGGTTCCCAACCCAGTTCTCAGGTACCACCTACCAGTCCATGATTTAGGGATTAACCTGTTGTGACTAAAGGGTTATTATTATTTTTTTTTCTAAAAACACCTTAGACACAGAGTAATTCCTAAATCCTGGACTGGTAGGGGGTACTTGAGGATTGGGTTGGGAAACATTGATCTAGTGGAATGAGGTGTCAATCACTAGCTGTACTGACCATCTAATGGAATGAGGCACCAATCACTAGCTGTACTGGTCATCTTATGGAATGAGGTACCAATCAGGAACTGTAGTGGCCATCGAATGGAAGGAGGTGTCAATCAGAAACTGTACAGGCCATCTAATGGAATGAGGTGTCAATCACGAGCTGTACTGACCATCTAGTGAAATGAGGTACTGTACTGACTATGTAATGGAATGAGGTACCAATCACTAGCTGTACTGACCATGTAATGGAATGTGTCAATACCTAGCTGTACTGGCCATCTAATGGAATGTGGTGTCAACCAGAACCTGTACGGACCATCTAATGGAATGAAGTGTCAATCAGAAGCTGTACTGGCCATCTAATGGAATGAGGTACCAACCAGGAACTGTACTGGCCATCTAATGGAATGAGGTACCAACCAGGAACTGTACTGGCCATCTAATGGAATGAGGTACCAACCAGGAACTGTACTGGCCATCTAATGGAATGAGGTACCAACCAGGAACTGTACTGGCCATCTAATGGAATGAGGTACCAACCAGGAACTGTACTGGCCATCTAATGGAATGAGGTGTCAATCAGGAACTGTACTGGCCATCTAATGGAATGTGGTGTCACCAGGAGCTCTACTGACCATCTAATGGAATGAGTTGTCAGTCAGAAGCTGTACTGACCATCAAATGGTATGAGGTGTCAATCACTAGCTGTACTGGTCATCTTATGGAATGAGGTACCAATCAGGAACTGTATTGACCATCTAACAAAAGGAGATGTCAATCAGAAACTGTACAGGCAATCTAATGGAATGAGGTGTCAATCACGAGCTGTACTGACCATCTAGTGAAATGAGGTACTGTACTGACCATGTAAAGGAATGTGGTGTCAATACCTAGCTGTACTGGCCATCTATTAGAATGTGGTGTCAACCAGAAGCTGTACTGACCATCTTATGGAATGAGGTGTCAATCACTAGCTATACTGGCCATCTAATGCAGGGGTTCCCAACCCAGTCTTCAAGTACCCCCGAACAGTCCAGGATTTAGGGATTACCCTGTTGTGTCTAAAGTGTTTTTTTCTTTCTAAAAGCACAACCGAGTAATCCCTATATCCTGGACTGGTAGGGGATACCATCTAATGGAATGAAGTGTCAATCAGAAGCTGAACTGACCATCTAATGGAATGAGGTGTCAATCAGAAGCTGAACTGACCATCTAATGGAATGAGGTGTCAATCACTAGCTGTACCGGCCATTTAATGGGATTAGGTACCAATCAGGGCCATCTAATGAAATGAGGTGTCAATCAGGAACTGTACTGACCATAGAGGAAAGAGGTGTCAATCACTAGCTGTACTGGCCATCTAATGAAATGAGGTGTCAATCAGGAACTGTACTGACCATAGAGGAAAGAGGTGTCAATCACGAGCTGTACTACCCATCTAATGGAGGGAGGTGCCAATCAGAAGCTGTACAAGCCATCTAATGGAATCGGGTGTCAATCACTAGCTGTACTGACCGTCTAATGGAACTTGAATTAACCCTAGCCAACACTGTCCATTTAACAATCTTCCATACAGCATAAGACCTATTTACGAAAGAAGATAGATTGGAGGAGTCCCAGAAATTTGAGGGAAAGAAAGTAAGGTGGATCAAGATATTTGTTGAAGATCTGTGGCTATGGTGGTGTGGGGTGGGGTGGGTAAAAGATTTGAGGGCATTGGGTGGGAAGGGTCAGTAATTATAAGATCCCTGTTCCAATTATTTTGGTTTTATTTTATTTCTTTCGTTGTCTGCATTCCCTATACTGTACATCACTGCAGATAAGTTGGCGCAACATAAATACTAAATAATAATAATGTGATTTTGGGGGAAACATGGGCATGTATTGCAGCAAGAGCAATTCCAAATAGGTACTGTATGGCCACTTACAACACATAACCAATTTATGTAAAAAGATGAACGGGGTGCTACTGATCAGATTCATATTGCATTCCAGACAATGTACTAGTGCCTAATACAGAGATCCAAACCTTTTTAACAAGGACCCAATTTAACTGCAACAAAGAACATAATGATCTCTGCATAGCGTCTCCATTAGACTCATTAGAAGACATATTCTGCAGAAACCATAGTAGAGCTTGATGAATAAGATATTATTGTTCAACCAGTGACCAACGAGTTAGGAACCACTGGTCTAGTCCACCACCTTGATATGTAGTGTTTGATGGCACTTTGTGAATAAGCAAGTTATCTCTGAAGTAATGCTACTCAACAATGAGGCTCAATGGCTCTGCACCCAGTGATACCCCAAGTCCCAAGAGCCTGGGCTCCCAGACACATTCAAAGCACTGGAACCAGGGGGGAAGACAGTAACATGGGAAGATGGCGCATTGACACAGATATGGAGCCCGGGAGCAGCGACACAGGAAGGAGAAAGGTTAACTGGAATGGGAGCAGAGAAGGAAAATTACAAAGATGATGAATCATTTTTGGGGGTACTTTACTCACCGTTTTTTGAGAACCATTGAGTGAGGGGGATGTTCTAGGTGATGGGCTTCTCCCCTCAGGGCTCCATTGGGAAGCAGAGGAAACGGATTCGGGGTAACCAAACTCTGATGGTGTCTGGGACCTGCGCTTACTGTACACAGCTGGCTGCTTTAGTACAGTCACCTCTCTACTGCCAGGGTCCCAGGTCGATTCTGCATAGCGAAACACTGTTTGTGCACCCTTACTTTTCTCTTTCCTCTTTCTGCCCCCTCTGTAAGCCCAAGACCCTTCCCTTGTGCTCCCTGCTTTATAAACGAAATCTGCAGGACCCTCTTGCTTCTTTTGTCCAAGACCATCCGCAGCAATTCTATTAGGACTAGGGGAATCCTCATCAGTGCTACCCCCAACTGCCCTCCTTCTGCCCCCATGCAGGTTGGTGGGGCTAAGTACCCGGGACGTTATTTCATCCAGGAATTGAGAAAATTTGGCTTTGTCCTCCAGGCTCTTTCTCTCCGGTGATGGGGTTCCACCTCTTCCTAGATCAACTTGAGAAGGTGAGAGTGTAAGTGGGGAGCATTGTCTGGCTGCTTTTGGCCCTGAGTACCGTGTGGTGTCAGGATTGAGGTTCAGAGTGCCAGGTTGTTTAAGGATGCTTTTCAGTGGCTGCGGACAAGACGATTGCTGGTGTTTCCTAGGTGTCAGCACCTCTGCAGGTTCTTTGAAGACCAAGCTCCGTTCCAGGCTGCGACTTTTGCCCTCCCTGTGCTCTCCTGTTGATAACACAATATTTTCCTCACTTCGACTAAGAAACCGCCGCAGGCTGCGAAGTCGAGGGGCCCTGCCCTGTTTCCCTGTGCTCCGGAGAGATTTCACCCTGCGCATCAATGTGTGTGTTCTACCCCTGCTAACTCTTTGTCCTTCTGGATCCTGGTCATTGCTGGATGCCAGAGACCAGGAGGAGGAGCAGCTAATATTGCAGACATCAGAGCTGTCCCCTTGTCTTAACGCCACTGCCTCAGATTTACTAAAACAGGTGCGCTGATAAAGTGTTGGCTGCAGTGCTTTTACCTGGCTCTGCTGCTCGGCTCCCTCATCCCGGGGACTCAAAGGCTCATGTCGGGTCTCCCGGTGCTGTGGTGGTGCCTTACGGTATGGTTTCTTGTTTGCAGATGTGCTTGCCATTCCGGGCTCCTTCAGTATTGCGCCTGCTGGGAAGTAAAGCAGAATGCGTCATGAACATGCTGTGCAGGGAAGCCAGGAGTGGTCGCCATACTGGAAGAGAACAGAGAGTAGAGGTAGAGAGACAGGCAGGGCACTGGGAAACCTCACATGCATGTCACCAGCCAAAGGCAAAATATTGATCTCCACGCTCCACTGGTGAAACATGTATTGACGAATGGCAAGGAATTGTGGGACAGCAAACTATGCACAGATGAAATAGATTGGCATCCCTACATGGTGACCAACACACAATAGAAGCGCAAGGTCTTAAAAGCTTCAAAAACAATTACAGGGTTAGTCACTAAAGTGGAAGGGCAAAACCGTTGAACCGGAAAAAGTCTACAAGTCAGCCATGCTTCCAGATGGGCTACTGCATACTTAAACAGGGTTATTTACTACAGTAGAATTTTCAGTGAATTTCAAATTTAAGGGACACAAACACCAAAACAACTTTAGCTTAATTAAGTGGCTTTGGTGTATAGATCTTGTCCCTGCAGTCACACTGCTCAACTCTTGGCAATTTAAGAGTTAAAGTGACACTATAGTCACCAGAAACATTACGGCTTTAATGTCTATAGGCTGTCCCTGCAGTGTTTACATTGCTGCCTAGTAACACCTCTGGGTGCTGTCATTCAGACGGCCACTAGAGGTGCTTCGCGTGTCAGGGATGCATAGTGTGCAGCACTGGGGTTCTGTATCCCCAAGCTCGGCATAGAGTTGCTAAATGTTCCCCATAGAGATGCATTAATTGAGGGGATACTGATAGGCCAGGGCTGTATTTCGCTGTACCTATGGGAAAGCATTGAGATCTTCAAGATTGTGATCTCAGCCATGAAGGCGGGGCAAGCTGCAGTGTGAGAGAAAAGTATGTTTCAAACCTTTTTAGAGTGATCTGAGTGGCTACAAGTGTGTATTCCAGGCACTACAGTGTTCCTTTAAAGAAAGCATGTCAAACTCGAGTCCCACAATGGACATCTTTGCGGCGAGCCGCGAGTACATGCTTAGTGTTAAAGCAGAGTAGGCACCTGCTTTCTCCACATTGAAGGTGCCTAC